AATATAGGTAATATAGGTAAGATAATATACCTATATTATCTTACTCCTGCTACTACTAGTACTAGTAGTAGTAGGGCTGATAGGGTCTATGTCCCCCAGGGTACTGCCGGAACGTACCCTGGGTACGGTCCGGTATACCGGGACTTACCCTGGTACTAAATACTACTATCTAATATGCCGGACCGTACCTCGCCTACTCCACTAACGAGTCTAGGGAGCCGCCTACGCCTACTCCCTAACACTAACCCTAACCATATCAGCTAGATAGTTACCAGGGTATGTTCCGGCAGTACCCAGGGGGACATAGGGCCCAAGGATAGAGAACATGGGTCCCAATAAAACCAATGTGCCTAACCCTAACCCTAACCCTAACCATAACCCTAACCTATTATATTGATGTAAATGACATTGGTTTTATTGGGACCCATGTTCTCTATGATCTATCCTTGAACCGGACATAGACCCTATCAGCGCTACTAGAGCCAAGTCAAGTGCACTGTACTACCTAAGTACCTTAGTAGTTAATACTAGAGAAAAAAGAAAGTACGTCTGGTACACTTTGAGTATACATATATGTACCTCGGGTACATATCTGTAGTACCTGATACGACAACGACCCCTTGAGCATTATTATACTGCACATACCTTGCTTTTGGATAATAAACTCGACGAGAAACCGACCAGGCAACTTGTAAACAACCCGCAAGAATATTTTGAATTGCCGCTTTCGTTGTCGCTAACCAATCACACAGCATTGCACAGTCACAATCTGGTTCCTTGTACACTTCCGCTACACTTTCTCCCGCAAGAGGACGTTATGAGCGAATTATATTTTCGCACAAGCAACCCCATTTTATATTTTTGTGTGCGCTATCTAACGAGGTGTATAACAAACATTTTCCCAGACGCTATTACGCCTATTTTTGAGTGTTCGATCGTAATGTGTTCATTACGATTTAGATACGTAAGTGGATATATAAATATATAGGTGGATAGATAAATGGACGGATGGGTGGACGGGCTGATGGACAAATGAATGGTAGGATAATTGATTGATTTATTAAATGGTGGATGGGTAGATTGATAGGTGGAAAGATGAATGAATGAACGAATAAATAAATGAATGAATGAATGCATAAATGGATGAATGCATGGATGGATGATTTTAGATCTGTGATGCAACAGCATTTTTCACTGCTTTTACAATTTGATTTCCATCGCATTATTTTTAGGGCATGTAAAATAACGCTAAAAATACGGGCAAAACGGCCGGTACTAGCGAAAATATTCTAAAAAATACGAGATCAAAAGTTCCCTGATTAAATCAATAAAATATTAAAGCGTATATGTTGTCACAACTCTCTCGTGAACCCTCAGACTGTATAATTATGGTCTCCTATTCTGTCTTAATCCAACAAAACCCGATGAGACGTGAGTTCAAGCTGCATGCATGGTTGCATATGCATCGTACGTCACTCGTCCGCATCACATAAATCACATCTGGAATGTCTTATTGAATGGAATATGGTTCGCGGCTATTACTTTACTGTGGCCGTACAACATGAGTGATATATATATATATATATATATTTCATGCTATCTGAAAAATGATCATTATAAGCGGTATATTTGCATATAATGCGATGCAAAGTGCTGTCAACGAGTTACGCACGCACGCACGCACGTTTACATACGCACGCATGCATAATAAATCGGTAGTAATCGCTATCGGGTGTTGTCGTGTAGACGCTACATAATCGCTAACTCGAGTTAAGCGTCGTCGTGTAGACGAGATTTATATTACAAATGATAACTTATAGGGGACTAAATAATCCCTATTTACTCCTGATAGTACCTAGGAAGACGGTCCCTCTCAGCCATGCTTGCAGCTAGTATAATTGCATGGCAAATGCACTTCAAAAGAGCACGATCCCAAGAAATTTGTTAGGTGTTTATATTTTTAATTTAATTTAAAATTCATATGATTTCTGTATTATCGTTTGCTTTGCATATAAACATCATTACATATATTATGTAACACAATTATATGTGAAGATGTAACCTAGATATATTATCAAGAGCCCATAAATTATGTTTCATGGGTTCTTGATTATATTAAAACATTTTTATGTTACAACACTCATGAATTTATTTACCTGCACAGGTCTGGAGAACTCAGCATACTGAGAATAGACTTAACTGCAGGGTAGAGGTCTTTTGAGCCTAATTCTGTAATGAAATCTATGGAATCAAGCCCCATTTTTGCTCCAATTGGTTTCCTATTTGGAACGAATCCTCGACGAACCATCTCTGATTGTGCCTGCTTTACCAATACTGGATCAACCTCTTGTCTAGTCAATATAGTTCTATGGCTAGTCTTTAAAGCTAGGTTCTTCCAATTTGGTTCCAAATGTTGGCAACTGAAACCATATTCAGTAGTACACTGCTCAGTAATCTCTTCTGGTTGAGAGTGCTGTGTGGCATTTTTGGATCTTCCAAGAGCACTATCAGGAGTGCCAGGAAAGCAATCAATCCGTGAGGTGTTTTGTTCCGTATCTTCTTCATGTCCAAGTTGCAGCTTGGGAACATCTGATATCTTCGTGGCACTAGATCTGTTCTTGTCAATGCTTTCAAGACTGAAGTCTTGAGAAGGTGTCGAGGCATAGCCACTATCAGTTGTTGATGAAAACACTGATATTTTATGATCGGGAAATGGTGTACTTGTGCTGACAGAGTAGACCCTTGAATTACTGGACATCTCCGAAGTTTGTGGGAAGAGATGTTCATACTCATCATCACTTAGTGATATATCCATGTTGGCTTTTTTGTGCCAGGATTCTATACTCTGGAAAGACAGTCGTGTTTAACAATTAGAACACATTATGCAACATGATCAATAATCACGAAACAAAATAAATCCATACCGAAAGAAAAAGTATCATCATGACATGTTAGAGTACTATATAGCGTTTTCCTTCCTTAGCCCCTGCCTTCCACTTCAGTGATTACATATAATAAGGCAATGCAATGTAAATTAAAAGCAGCAGAAAATGATGAAGTAGAAGACCAACACAATAGTTAGGTTAATGTGAACACTAATCTCCTGCAATGTATTGCCTATTATCACATGCTGGCACCCACAGAATTGCTCAATCAGCATGATAGAGTATCTATTATTTTATATTCCTACATTGCTGAGGAGAGGATTTTCGGTAGAAAGGCCAGGAATAAGCAGGAGTTGCAAGGCCAAGTGCCTGCACATGTGATTTTCACCTTTGGAGGTACAGTGAAACCCCGATTTTACGCGCCCTGATTTAATGCGAATTCGGATATAACAAGATGAGTCGTTGGACCCCCTTTTTTGCCTCTTATATAACCACGTATATATATAACTCCGATTTAGTGCGACCCCGCTTTTTTCACGTTGACATTTTATGGACCCCAACCATCGCTTTATAACGAGGGCTACACTGTATGCACCTAGGTGTAGCTGTACTGTACATGCAGTCACAACTGCCACCAAGACTGAACATACGTTGATCGTTTACTCGGGGCAGCCATGAGACAATGCGCCTTTTAATAAATTCCTGCTTCTTGTGACTAGGCAGTAGGGCTCATAGGGTCTATGTCCCCCAGGGTACTGCTGGAACGTACCCTGGTAACTATTTAATATGGTTAGGGTTAGGGTTAAGGTTAGGGTTATAGGGTTAGGGAGTATGCGTAGGCGAAGGCGTATGCGTAGGCACAGGGGGCATGGGGAGTACCTTTGCCCCCCTACAGAAAATTTCCTGCGTACGGCCTTGGTTGCCCCCCCTAGAGATTTTCAGAGTATGCCTTTTAATGGGACAAATACTGTACACTTTTAGAAATAAAATAGAAATGTGACAAAAGGTTATCTTAAATCATCAAAGAAATATTACTTTAAATAAAGAAATGTGAAATTGCAAAACTTTAGGGCACAGGGGGCATGGGGAGTACCTTTGCCCCCTTACAGAAAATTTCCTGCGTACGGTCTTGAACAATAACCCCCCTTCTAATTTTGCTTCAATAATTTCATTCTGAATAGTTTTCGATGTTATCTTTGCATTTTTTTACTTAAAACGTACTTAGTAGTACTATTACTATATTCTCTCTGGCAAGAGCCCACTCATTTGGTCTAAATTTGGTAAAAGTAAGTACTACTGGCACAGGGGCGTGTACGGGGGTGGGGGGTCCAGGGGGTCCGGACCCCCACCTGCTCGCGCAGAAAACGCATCTGAGGGGGTCTAATTTCAAAATTTTTGTGGGGGAGGGCCCCCCAGACCCCCCCTTCGCGTGCTCCCAAGTTTGGGTTACGGTTGGACCCCTCCCTGGTACAAATCCTGTACACGCCCCTGTGCCAGTAGTACTTACTTTTACCAAAGTTAGACCAAATGAGTGGGCTCTTGCCAGAGAGAATATAGTAATAGTATTAGTACTACTAAGTACGTTTTAAGTAAAAAAATGCAAAGATAACATCGAAAACTATTCAGAATGAAATTATTGAAGCAAAATTAGAGGGGGGTTATTAACTTATTACCCCAGGAGGGTACCAGTCTATAACAAAGCAATCAACGGTGGCGCAGCCTGGCGGCGATCTGTCGCAGCCCAGAAAACAA